TTAAATGTCATTCACACTGTGAACTCATGAAAGGCCACAGACCCACAAAGAGCTGCCTCAACCCAGTTGGAGGAAAACCCAGCCACACCCTGACAGAAACACCCTCCTATGCCACAGAGGCCACCTGAACAGACCATGAGGCTCTCCACCAGGTCTTTCCATGCCTTCAGCCTAGTGTGCCATGACACATTCTGCAACACCAGCCTTATCATCTATTTTGTTGCAGTGTAGGCTGCACCAGCAGCCAACCTGGAGAGTTGGGTTTCCCCAAGGCTGGGCAGCAAGGAGCAGCCACGGTTGTTGTTTATGCTGGGCTGGACCAGACAACCCGACAGCCACTGCCATTGCCCTACAGGCACCAAGCCAGGCTGCATCTCCTGGCCCCCACCACATCACGCTGCTCTCCTAGGCATGGCCCCCTGAAACATAAAAGGTCTCTGCTCCAGCACACCTCTCCCCTCGGTGGCAGTCCCAAAGCCCACTCAGCCTCCCAGCAGCACTCTCTGCTCATCAAGCTGCATCTGTGTTAGGAAGGTCTCTTGAGCTGTGCTGGCATGGGGGGGTGAGGGCAGGGCCAGAGTTGGGGCAAGGAGGGCACTGGAAAGAGCATGGACAGGTGAGCTCACTGGGAAGGATGAGGCTGCACAGCATTGCCATCCAGCCTTTCCAAAATGCTGGTGAGCCAGCAGGTGGAGGGACAGGTACATTTCATAAGCACTCAGGAGCAGTACTAGTAGAAGCTTCTCTGCCTCTCTTTGAGGCTTAAATTATGCCAATAAAATGTAAACAAATGCAGAACTTTATAGCACTAGGGATGTGATCAAACCTGGGATTGTCCCACCCCAACCAGGCTTGTAAAAATTTTTATCTGCAGTCCAACCTCAGCAATGCAGCCTAACCCAGCTGGCACTTACGGTAAAAACACAGATGTGACTAAGTCCCTCATCATCTCTGTGTAATCCCTAGAACTGCTTGGCAGCTAGGAAATCACTTTTATAATGAAAACATATTTTTTAACACCTCATGGCTGGCACCACAGCACAGCCGTGTCTGTTTACCAAGTTCCAGATCATTACACCCGAAACCACTGAAGCCTGGGAGGCAAACATCTGCACTGTGACAGTTTTGCTGAGTTTCACCATTACTGACAACAGTGAAGAGGGCTGAACTCTATTCTAACCATTGAGACTTCATAATTAGGTAAAAACAGAAGCATTAGCAACTCCAGGACATTTTATTTGAAACAGTGACAAGATACCAGACCACTAGTGGGTTTTAAAAACGCCTTTTTATGACATGCAGGACAAAAGCAGCCAGCTTCTGTCCTGGTGAAAGGAAAAGCAAGAAAACCCAGAAACTGCTTTTAGATACCTCCTTCTGTTCCTGTAAGACAGGCAGGGGGAACTGGACAAACCAAACAGCATGTACCGGCAACTGCACTACTACAGAGATGCAAAGCAATTAGGAAAGGACAAAAACAAGTCCTTAGTAAGTCTTGCCTTTCTTGAGGCTGAAGCTTTACTTAGAGTGATGGCCCATCAAAGGTGTCTCTTTCCTTTCAGGACTGGCAAGAGAAGGTTACAACTAGCCCTCAAAAACTAAGTTAAAATGTTAGAGATGGGAACACAAAGCCAAATAGCTGGCAAGTTAAAGGATACAGAGTGGATCACGAAGGTTCACCTAGTATGCATGTTACACGGATATATATTTATGTATTACAAAAATCAGGGAAGCTTTACACAACAGTTGATAGAGTCAGCCTGAAAACAACACAGAGGAAAGATCAAAACATTATAAATCATGGCCTCCTGGGCTTCCTATTTTGCTGTCAACTGCCTGAAGGACAACTCTTTAATGCAATTCTCAAAAAACTGATTCCCAGCTTAGACATACCACCTCCCCAGATAGCATCCAAAAGCTCATAGGTGAGTTTGTTGTGGATCACATGTGGCAGGACCCATCTCTACAGCTCAAATGGTGAATGAAAAATAAAAGTTAATATGAGCCATGAAATGGCAGGATGAAGGAGCGACTTATTTAGGAAAAGAAGTAGGAAGTGTATTGCACATAGCTCACATGGATTTTCCTCCTAGCAAGGTTTCATTCAGTTTTGACAGATGTAACCAGATTAGATCGACATTGACAGACACTGTAGATGGGATGCAGCAGTTCAGCATGATCTCTGCCATCCTGTTTGCAACTCCAGTCACGTTCAGAGTTGTGGTCATAGCAACAGGAAGGGTTTGACCTTCTCACTGTTGCAGCCTTCCCACGACCAAAACCCCACTTTAAATACAACACTATAAATAAAGCATGATTCTGGCCCTATCACCATTAAAACCTGTTTCCTATTATTCTGAGCACCTGCCACCATGGTTATGCAGAGGTGGACAAGAACTCCTTGGGATGACAGAGAAGGGACATGCAGCAGCTGAATACCCCCTGAGGTTCTCCCCAAAGAAGGCAGCCACGAGGTTCACACACCATGTTCAATTGGTCCCAGAGGAACTTCAGGTCTTACATGACAATAACATTTTCAAAAGCTGGGAGCTAGGCACACAAATTGTGTATGGCTTTTAAAACACTACCTTCAGGCCAAAGTGGAGTACTGTGCATACAGAACAACCGTGTGCATGCCCAGACAGACAGATGTTTACTGAGACCTGCTCCTTCACATGCTGTAGAAATCTTAAACTTGCCTACTTTCTGCTCTTTTAAAACCACTACCTGACTTAGATGGTCACGTATTGAGGGGGGAAAGTAATAATTATCTTCTCCCTCAGCCTACAACATTTTTTAAAAAGTGAAGGTGGAACTCAGAGACAAATTACTTTCTCTGGTACAATTCTTGGTGATTCTTAAGTTTTCTTCCCGATACTGGTTACTTTCAGGGACAACGCACTTCAGGACATTCACTATTGGGTAATTTCTGTGTCCTTGACCTTGTGAGAGCCAAGAAAGCTTCAGCATTTGTCCCTTATCAAGCCATAAAATGATAAAAGAAACTTAGGTTCAATCATAACCTAACCTATTTGCTGTTGCTTATCACATTTTTAAATAATACTATATAAGTCTGTTACTACTTTAAATAAGGTTGTTACGGTATAATATAAACTTATTAAAGAAGAGTCTGTAAAGTGATTTCATAACTCCAGACAATATTTTTAAATTTTGTCTTTAAAAAAGCCATAAAATGATAAAAGAAACTTAGGTTCAATCATAACCTAACCTATTTGCTGTTGCTTATCACATTTTTAAATAATACTATATAAGTCTGTTACTACTTTAAATAAGGTTGTTACGGTATAATATAAACTTATTAAAGAAGAGTCTGTAAAGTGATTTCATAACTCCAGACAATATTTTTAAAATATTTTTTAAAATATATTATGATGATTCCTTCAATTCACTTTAGCCTCATATTTGCATAAGAATACTCTTACAGGTAACATATGAGGTCCAAACTACACTACATCTCTAAAAAACAGCCACTTCGTTTTGGTACCAAGAAAAGGAGCTTGTGGAGTAACTTTAGGTGTTCACAACTTAAAACCCTAGCTCATTTTTTCCTAGTGTACAAGCAAATACTGTGTAAATGAAAAATTATATTCATAAACAGAAACACAAAGACTATTCCACTGTAAACATATTTCTTGTATCAGCAAGTATATAAAAAATTAATACATTGGATTTGTTGCTACAGCAGGACTTGTGTGAAATAGCATTCAGTCTCACAATTTTAGCTATAGTAGAGACGTCTTCTCTTAAAAACCCAGTATCTGATCCACCCATATTTCATCTTAAATTCAGGAGGGGGGAAAACAAACAAATGAACAACAACAACAAAAAAAAAAACCACAACAAAAAGACCCCACCAAAAAACCTTCAGCTAGCACCATGGTAAAAAGAAGCCAAGATTTACTAGAGCCAGAGGAATTTTTCTTACACGTTACCTAGACCTGTTGCAAAACTCATAGTATTCAAATGGCACTATCAAAAAATCACCATGCAATGGATGCCCTGCCCATAGCATGGACTTTTTTGCTATAAGCCTTTCGTAGCTATTAGAATACAGCTACGTGTGTGTATAAAATCACTCAAGGCCAAATCTGCAGGAGCACGGAGAAATTACCAGCGCTGGTACTAGAACAATTAAATCATTTGCAAAACAGCCCTCGTGAAGCCCCCTGGAGCCTTAGGTTTTATCTTTGCCACTCGCCCAACAGATCTGATCCGCCTGGACTTTCCGATGAAGTCAGGCACCGTTTACAGATGCCCTCTGGAGCCACTCAGGGCGCAGCTCACATGCACAGTCTGAAGCTTCTGCCAATGAGCTGACCTCCTCTTGCTCTCCAGCTTCCAATGGCTGGCAGCCTGGTGAGGAAAACTTGAAAAAAGAGATGAGAGTAACTCCTGGTTTTCCCTTTAAGAGCAGAGGGATAAAACACAGTAGATCAGCTCCTTTTAAATATCCTCTGACCCTTGTCTTTGTCACTGCTGTCTTCTAATGCAGCCAAGAACAGTTAGATTTTTTTCTGTATCTCTTATTTTTCTGATGTGTGATAATACTGTGTGGTGCATCAGAGGCAACTCTTTCCAAATTTGAGAGCTAATAGTCTTAACATGACATTGAGTGACCTAAACTTCAGAGAAGCAAGATTTTTTGAGCTATTTCTAGCCTGCAGTGCTCAGTTGGATTTCTCACTAGAGTTCCTGGGAGCTGGATCAAGTCCTAAGACAGCCATATATAGATCATAAAAGGCGGAACTCTTCTCTGCTGTTTATTAATCACTCTGGATTTCTTTGCCAAGCTCATACCTTTGCAAGTTTCCATTGCCATAAAATACCTCCTTTCACACTGAAATGAGCTAACTGCATCCCACTGAGAAACACCACTCAGGTTCACAATTGCAGATAAAATAAATAAATAAATAAATATTATAACTAAACCCAACTGCCTTTTTTTGTGTGTGTGTGTTTTGTTGTTGTTTTTTTTTCACCAGTATTGGAAGGTGCACGCTGCCCCGAGACATCAGGCGAGGTTTTTCTCTATTGGAAAGCCGAGCAACGGGCCCTGCCGTCTCTGCCGCTCTCCTGGGGGGCCCTGAGCGGAGCCTCCGCTCCGGGGGCTCCGGGACCCCCCGCGGACACGCGCCCCTCGGGCCGCCTTGCTCCCATCCTCCCAAGTTCTTCATCACGCCGAGAATCCGGAATACAAGTATCCCAAACTCGGCATACTCTGCATCTCTGCACCCCCTCTAAAGCCTGAGGTGTTTTTTTTTCCTGGTCATTTTTAGAGTATTGTGAAAACAAAGGCATGGTGTACGTTAAGGTTACAGCACTCACAATAAAGCTGGCAGGAAGATCCGAGAGCAAACAAACGATTCTCTTTTGAATGATGAAGACTTGAATCATACATAATCAACACATTATTGAAAAGCAAAAGAAACACTAACAGGATGCTCATGATGATAAGCAACTCAGCCTGTGTTCACAAAAACCAGATCATGAACAGTGAACTAATTACATTTTCATAAAGTGATGAAACTTAGATAATAAACCCTGGTTTGCTGGTCTTTCCATACTCTTTTTCACGTACCTTTTGTATCAAATTTTCCTTACTGACAAAGAAAACCCCAAAGGAAGAACCTGAACAGCCCATTAGCTGTTACCACTGCTTCTTGCAGGGTCGGAGCCCCTGAACGCACTGAGGACCAAAACAAAGACCTGCAACAATTATAGCTGGTTGCACCTAGTGTGGGCTAACACAGCAGGCATATGCCATTCTCCCAATATTCTAAGTTGCGTTTTGTTTCCACCATTCTGTATTTCCTCCAACTTGTCTCTCAACCTTACTTTTCTTTCAATCTCCATTTTCTTTTGTCTCAGATTTACCCCTTTCCCTCAGTGAGTCCTAGCCTCAAGTTCTTTGGTTTCTGCCCTGCCCTCACATCTGCTTTTTGCCTAGTGTTTCTTTTGTTGGTTTCAGTTGTGCTGCTGTATTGATTTTAAGCTCCAGCGTCCACCTGCCTCTGGAATTTATCTGTATTTTCCATCCACTTTTTCTAGTTGTTTCTCCCATTTTCTGTTATCTTAAATTCTAATTTTCCTGCCCAAGACTCATCTTCCTCCATGGTGCCCAGCTGTCCCCTCCTTCCCTACAGAAGCGCCTTGGCTGCAACAACCTTTCTTTCCAAGGCAAAGAAGATAAAGAAAATGTTTCCAGTCCTCTGTCAAATGTGTCTGCTTCTTATACTATTTCCATTTTGTCCATTTTAGTCTTCTTAAATTGCACTTGTTACACAGTAGGCCTTAAAAAGCATTAGAGCTTCCAATAACAGAAGGCACTGCTAGAAATTTTAGCAGGTGATGAACAGCATGTTCATTCTTTTCCTAGCTATACCTTTTAAGATATTATTTTCAATTAATTTTTTGCAAATATGTCATCCTGAGTCAGCATAGAAACTTTCAGCTCAATTTGCTAGCTTCACTGATGTATATAACTGAAACAAATTCATTCTAACAAGACGTATCAGTCACTGTTAACAGGCCCACTCTTCATATGAATCCAAATCTTTTGAAAAACTTGAAACACAGGTATCCCAGCACACAGTCTGGACTTAAACTGGGACATAGCTAGGTGTACATATTCCTCTGATTGCAAGCATTTTCTTCATTCCAAATATCTGCCATTTCTTTCTAAGCTGTGCATCTTTAAGACACAAGAAGTTCTCAGTCTTCCCTGGAATCAAGACTTGCCATTGCAATCTAATATGAAGACCTAAAAATCTGTTCCACAAAGTCGTACAAACCAATTCTCATGCTGTTAATTCTCACAGCTAATGCCCCAGCATGTCACTGATAGGAAAACAAGTATGCTGTGCTTTATAGCATTTTAGTAGCTCAAAGTGCACATAACTATCATGTCCTCTTTATCCTGTTATCTTTAGAAATCAGAACTGCTGAAACATTTTCTCCTGTAGTGCCACTGCAGAATACCAATCCTGTGGCTACAGACTTACCTTAATATCAGCTCTATCTTGCTTGTCCATCCTTGATGCTTCTTTTTTTAATACCCCCTGTATTTCCAGTGTCTAAACTGTCATGTCAATAGCAGTGCAGCCAGCTCAATTCTTGGATACCCATTAGGAACAATATTTCTTACCTGCTGCTTTTCACGTCCTAAGGAAGTGAAACGCAGACATGTTGAAGTACAACGCATTAATAATACATAACCTTCTATCATTTTCAAAGTCCAAAAATCTCCTACTGAAAAATGATCTTAAAGGAGGATTATACACTTAACAGAAACCTCTGCCAAAACAGGAATTGCTTCCTTTCTGTTGTTTCCATGGGATGCCTGTAAAGGCATAAGCATCCAGATACCTACTCTGCTCACTGTGCTCTTTTAGAACATGCCTCTTATCCAGCAAGTATGATAAAACATGCTTTTTTCCATTAACGGTGTTTAATCACCCAGAATTTAGTAAAGGAGTGCCTGAATTTCATAATTAAAAAGCCAAAACTAATCTAATTTTATGCACTAATCTGCTTTAGAGGAAACTCCCAGTTTCATTGTTCCATTATCTTCTTGCTGAAGACACTGAGTTTCGAAAGACTATCTACAAACTTTTACCTTTGCCTTAGTGCCCTAATAGATCTTCAAGAACTGATGAAGCAGCAAAGAGAGGATCAAGGAATGAAACTGGTGAAGACTGCTTCTAGATTTCTTGCCCCATCCCATGTCATTACCAACACATCAGCCTGTCACTAGGCTTATTTACTTTTATCTTCCAACATCAATAAGGAAGTCTCACAAGTTAGTCCAACACCAAAGGCTGGCAGCAGACATAGTGAACACACACTCATCAGATGATGACTGTTTCAGCTACTACTTCAGCATACTGTGGAAAGGCTATTTTTCTTTGTAGTGCAAATCAAATCTGTTTTACCATGCAGATTCTGGACTAAAACAGAACAGAATCTTCTGCCTTGAACTTCAACTTACAGTGTGTAGAGGCAAATTCCTGGGGTGAGCTTAAGTCGTGTTTTATTGCTTGTTTCACATTATGCAAATATGCAATTATTATTGCAGGTCTGATTGTAGTACATCTTCCCTCCTTCTGCCCTCTGCACACTGATATTAGATACTGATCAGCCAACAAGTGCTTTTCCAAGGAGAACCTGATTTCACTCATCAGGAATACTGGGGTTTTTTTATGAAAGTTAAGGAGGACAGAACCCAAGCAGGTATATAAATGGTCAGCAGCAGTTCTTATGGTAGGTATGCTTCAATAGGAGGCAAGAATGAGGACATCTTGAATACTGAATATCAGGATGCCATATGTCCTTATGGTGTTTTTTTAAATCAGATCATTCAGTGGTTGCAACAAGTATCTACTGGCATCTAAATATTGCTCAAAATCCTTCAAGATAGTTCAGATGTTATATTTGCATGAGGAATTACTCAAACTCAACAGGACTGTCTGCAGAATTTATTCTATGAGAAAAATTTGCTTTTAAATAAGAGTCTGTAAGTTGCCAGGAATGTAGTGGGTTAGGTTTTGTTAGCTGGATGGTCACAAATATCCAACTATCAATTCTTCCAAAATGCATTCTGTAAATACCTTTGAAGACAGTGCAGACCCAAAGAACAAAATGTGACAGTACAATTTAGTCTCATTACAATGATGTATAGTTTCTGTGCTTCTAATGATAGTTCCATGGAAACCAGAATACTGCTTCCTAGGCAAAAGTCACTGTCCAGAAATCAGAAATAACATCTCAAATGGTCTCATTGGTCTCTGTTATTCAATTTTCTTAATAGAGGTAGGAAAAAGAGTGAAGAAGACCTAAGAGGAGACTCAGTGTAGGACTGTGTTCTGCAGCTTGAATATGTACTAGTAGTCTCCATCTCTTGAAAAAAAGCCCTTCACAGCAACAGAGAAGCACAATGTACTTCTGTAGGATATCAGTTATGGAGACAAGCATGAGCAAGATGCAGGATCGAAGGATAACCACTTCAGTTGTTGTTCTTAGCTCAGAATTAGATGACTCCTCTGATGATACTTATAACTAATCATCTTGAAATTTTATTAACTTTCCGAGGAGCCTTTCTAGAGCTTTAACACAATTCCAGCTTCTAAGAAAAACAGGTCTTAAGAGTTTTGTAGAACTATCTCAGGGAACACTGACTCTCTTCAGCTTGATTTGTCATTCCTTGTATGCCATGGGCTGGTTAACAGATTTTTCAAATGTCATCTTTCAGAGTACCCCTAGAAGATGTGACCTCTGACTGTGTGCCTGTGACAAATGACAGGCATATGGATTCTGCAGTGAGATTTCTTTCAGATGTTATTCCAGAGCTTTCAAATCCCCATTTTAAAACTATTTTCAAAATCTGTTTTTTTTTCCACCTTTTTTTCATACCAGATACAATATGTCTTTCTCACTGGGACTATGCTGAAGGTAGAATTGGGAGGATGAGGATTTCCATTAATATTCACATTCAGACATCCCAAAGCAAATGCTTCAAGTTTTAGAGAAAATGAGAAAAACCTTGCTGTTGAGACAGAAATAAAATAACCTTATCCACATGACCTCTTTATTTTCAACTATCCCAAAACTATTTACCTAAAAATTAAGGGTTAATCAGCAATGAATGTACAAGGAACACTGTGCTCCACACGGGAAGAAGAAGAAAGGCTGTCCTTTAGTGACCTGTGGCTGGAGGCAAGAAAGACACTTATATGGGTGTAAACCAGAGTATTACATCTCAAAAAATCAAATTCCACTACTTTAATCTCTAGGAACCTGCACCACTGAAATGCAGAGACCTTCAAAATCCTATCTCTAAAAGGCAAAGTGTTACTAATTTTCCTAAATGCAAAGGAAAATTTAGTAATTCATTTTTATCTTTCTTCTAAGTAAATGATAGGCACTGGTAATCACCATGAAATGTGGTCTAATAAATTTGTGTATGAATGTTTTGAATCCTGAACCCATTATTGAAATGACTGGTCTTTATACATTAGCAATTCTGGCCCCTCAATAATTCAAGACCACCCTAACAAAGATAAAACAGAAATCTCAAAACAATTCGAGACTTAAATAGTCAGCACTGACAAATCCAGGATATTCACAAATAAACTGCACAACTTAAATGAAGGAGAAAATAATGCATTGAAAAGGCTCA